TGGAACGCTCCAGAATCAATTAGAACCCTCTATAACCATGTAAAACGTTCCAGGATCGTTTAGAACTGTCTATAACCATTTAAAATCTTATAAAATCATTTAGAATGTTTCAAAACCATTTAGAACGTTTTAAAATTATTTAGAACGCTTCAAAATTGTTTAGAAATGTCTCGAACCATTTAAAACGCTACAGAATCAATAAGAACTGTTTAAAACCATTTAAAATGCTCTAGAACCATTTAGAATGATCCAGAATCATTGAGAATTATCTAGAAAATTTAGAACGCTATAGAACCATTTAAAACTGTTTTTATATCCATTCAGAATTGTCCAGAATAATTTACAACTAGACTAGAACCATTTAGAACCCTGTGAAATCATTTAGAACTGTCTAGAAGTATTTAGAACCCTGTGAAATCATTTAGAACTATCTAGAAGTATTTAGAACCATTTAGAACACTCCAGAACCATTTACAACATTCCAGAATGATGAAGAACGCTCCAAAATCATTTATAACTATAACCATGTAAAACGTTCCAGGATCGTTTAGAACTGTCTATAACCATTTAAAATCTTATAGAATCATTTAGAATGTTTCAAAACCATTTAGAACGTTTTAAAATGATTTAGAACGCTTCAAAATTGTTTAGAAATGTCTCGAACCATTTAAAACGCTACAGAATCAATAAGAACTGTTTAAAACCATTTAAAACGCTCTAGAACCATTTAGAATGATCCAGAATCATTGAGAATTATCTAGAAAATTTAGAACGCTATAGAACCATTTAAAACTGTTTTTATATCCATTCAGAATTGTCCAGAATAATTTACAACTAGACTAGAACCATTTAGAACCCTGTGAAATCATTTAGAACTGTCTAGAAGTATTTAGAACCATTTAGAACACTCCAGAACCGTTCACAACATTCCAGAATGATGAAGAACGCTCCAAAATCATTTATAACTGTCTAGAACCATTTGGAACGCTCCAGAATCAATTAGAACCCTCTATAACTATTTAAAACGTTCCAGGATCGTTTAGAACTGTCTATAACCATTTAAAACCCTATAGAATCATTTAGAATGTTTCAAAACTATTTAGAACGTTTTAAACGCTCTTTAAACGAACCATTTAAAACGCTACAGAATCATTAGGAACTGTTTAAAACCATTTAAAACATTCTAGAACCATTTAGAACGCTCCAGAATCATTTAAAACTGTCTAGAACCATTTAGAAAGCTACAGAATCATTTAGAACTTTTCAAACAATTCAGAACGCTCCAAACTCGTTTAGAAATGTCTCGAACCATTTAGAACGACTTCGAATTATTTTTTACTCTCTTGAACTGTTTAGAACTCCCTATAATCATTTAGAACTGTCTAGTACCATTTAGAACATTCCAGAAACAGTTAGAACTGTCCAGAAACAGTTAGAATGCTGCAGAATCATTTAGGACTGTCTAGAACTATTTAGAACGCTTCAGGACGATTTAGAACGCTCCGGAATTGTTTAGAACTGTTTGGAACCATTTAGAACGCTCATGAACCATTTAGAACCGTCTAGACCCATTTAGAACGATTCAGAAACGTTTAGAACTGTCTAGAACCATTTATAACGGTTCAGAACCGAATAGAGATGCTAGTACACAACATTTCAACTATCCCACGTACTTTTAATGGGTCATCGTCGTGACACACCCTGTATATAAAATTCGTAATAATTTAAGAAAAAAATCACGAATCGAAATTTAATTTTTTTTATTAAATTTAGACAACAGACGTTGAGGTGAGTAAGTTTTTTTAATGGCTATTTGTACAATGAATTATTTGGAGAATGTGATTGTTTCCTTTGTATACAGTAAAAGTATACAGTGTGTCCCAAAAAAATGTATACAAATGGGGACAAAGTTTATCTTACATTTCACAAAAAATACTCTTGATAAAATTATCTGCGTAACTTGTAGATCCATAATCAGGTACAAAATGTTTAAAATATTGTTTGCATAATTAAGCACAAATTATGCATAATTTTTTACTACTTAATCACAATTTCAATGAACATTTTGCTCTCCACTACAGTTTGGGTATATTTTTCTCTAAGTCCAAATCATTCTTTTTAGTTTTCCCTGTATTGAAGGCAATTTTTTAAACATTTTATAACTGATTGTGGATCTACAAGTCATGCAGAGAATTTTATTAAGATTATTTTTTTTGTGAAATGTTAGATACAAATTTTCCCCATTTGTATACAACTTTTTGGGACACACTGTATTTTGTTAAAAAGTAAAGCTCGAAATATGTATTATGTAAAATTAATGAGAAAATATGCTAAAAATGTGCAAATAAAATAAAAAGGTAATGATATGCATCATTGCATAAGCGTGATAAACGTTTTATATTTCATCATTTTCAATCTAATTTTTCGCTATTATGAAATTTCCTTCAAAAGGAATCCCTTTATAACAGGTATCCCTTTTACTCTAATTTTTTCATGAAAATTTCACATTTTTCATTCTCATTTTTCGTATTTTTTTACGAAATCCTTAAAATTTCCTTCAAAAGATTTTTCTTTTACTATTTTATTCAGAACATTTCACATTTGTCATTCTCATTTTAAACAATTTTTATGAAATTTCCATGAAAAGTTATCCTTTCTACTAATTTTTTTTAGACAAATTACAAAAAAAAAAAATTAATAAAAATAAAATTTTTCTTTTTTTAAAAAAGGTTTTTCTTTTTTTCTTTTACTATTTTATTCAAACATTTCACATTTGTCATTCTCATTTCCATAAAAATTTCCAATTTCTGAAACCACAACTAAAAATATGAAATTCTCATTTTTGTTAATGCCTTGTTTAATTCGTTTAATTTCGTTTTGAACAATAGCTCTTTAATTAAAATAGCTACGTACCAAATTTTATGAAAATCGAATGAAGCATTTTTGAGTTAGAAAAAAATTAAAAATTTTATTTTAACTTTGAGGCTCCCTCATAGGCAAACGAAGCACATTGGATATAGGTTATTTTGGTTTAATCGATTTATTTTGATTTCACCAACACACAGTAACTTTATGTACACGAAATTTTGGGACACTCTGTATACATGATTGACAAAAATGTTTTAAAACTTTCAAAATAATCATTAATCACTGGTGATGTGCGAAATATTCAAAAATTGCTCAAAATACGGATTATTCAAAATATGCAAAAATAACATACAAAATATTTAAAAGTTGCATAATTTACACAAAAAAGTAGAAAATGCAAAATGTATTTAAAATATCCGAAAATTACTTAAAATATGCAAAATATTCAAAAATAATTGGAAACACAAAATATTCGATAATTGCTCTAAATTTCAATATTTTACTAAAGCAAGTTGGATCAGATCGAAATATTTTGAGGCCCAGAATTTTCCCCTTCACTTTTGGACCGTTATTTTGGGACCACCCTGTATATACACACTCAAAAATGTTTTGCATAAAAGAATAAATAAACATTTAATACAACGAATTATTTGTAAAAATACTTATCAAAATTAGTTTCCAAAAGGCACAAACATCATTTAAAATTAACAATAAAAACAATTTAACAAAAGACTTTTTTAATAATAAATTTTCAGTGGCATTTCAACTATACAGGATGTCCAGAAAATATATGTCAATAACTCGGGAGCGTATAGGTGACATCAAAATAAGTGTATATCTTCATTTTATTTTCTTAATTTGAACCCCATTTTTGAGCTAGAGCCCTTTAAAGTTGAAAAATTAAAACTTATTTTTTCGTTTTGTTTCCAAGTTATACATGGGAACAAAATAAAATTTTTGTGGTTCATTACCTACACCCGTGTACCCAAATTGGTGATAAAATGTATCCTAAACTATTCTCTGGAAGACAGTGGCGGCGTGTTCCCAGTGATTAACAATTCGTATCTTTTATGGGGACAATCTGTATAAGGCAAACATATCCTAATTACATTCTTTAATCGATAAACTAACAAAAATATACTCTTGTTTGTCAATAAAATTAACGGTTTAGAAAAGTTTTGATTTTTAGATTGAGACGATAGGTGGAGAGATTTTTGGATAAACAAAAATTCTGAACAAGCTCCTATTATTTGTAACTATTTACTAAAAATATTGAATGATAACAATAAAGACGATCTTGGAATTTCTTCAGATTGATTTACCACCTTTTTTAGACGAAATTCCACTAAATCAAGAGATGAATTTAATGGAGAGAATAATTTTTCATTGTAAAATCAAGAAATGCATTTCAGACTGCAAAGAAATATTCTTCTTATGTTAGTGTTTTCAACGAAAGGTTTCCCATATCGATCATTTATTATAATCTATTATATTCAAAAATTGAAATTTCTCTAAAACCGTTCATTTTATCGACATCAAACAAGAGTACATTTTTGTTACTTTATTGAATAAAGAATCTATTGATAATATGTTTGCCTTATACAGATTGTCCCCATTAAAGTTACGAATTGTTAATCACTGGGAACACGCCGCCACTGTCTTCCAAAGAATTGTTTAGGATTAATTTAATCACCAAATTGGGCACATAGGTGTAGGTAATAAACCACAAAAATTTTATATTGTTACCATGTATAATTTGGAAATGAAAGAGTAAAAATAAGTTTTAAATTTTCAACTTTTTAAAGGCCTCCAGCTCAATAATAGGGACTAAAATTAACAAAATTTATATGATGTTGAGCCCTTATTTTAACGTTATCTATACGCTCCCGAATTATTGACATCTTTTTTCTGGACACCCCGTATAATATGCTAAACATTTTTGATTATATACCTACTAAATATTCAAAATACATCCATACTAAAATTCTATAGAAATGTGCAAAAAATGCAGTAGTTTACATAATATAATTCGAGCTTTACTTAATAATTGAATTTAATTTAAATTTCAATTGTATTATAATAAATTATTATTATTAATTTATTATTATTAATATGATTATAAATTATTTTAGATAGTAGGTTTGTTTCTGAGCAAACGCTACCGCAACTTGCACGATCCGGATGATCTGAGAGCCACTGCTGTTTTTCCACGACACAATTTCACCTATTAATTTATTTAATTAACGAATCTAGTCAACTTTTCTATACAGTTTATTATTTTTTTTTCTTCTAATTTTGACATTTAGCCATATTTATTATTTTTACCAAAGATCCCATTTTAATTTTAATTTTACTCGTGTATTATATTAATATAATAATTATATACATTTACATTTCGGAGGGTGTTCATTGATCTTGAAAGGGGGGGTCGAAATGTAATTGAATTGGCGGGAAATTCGTTTTTTTGTATCAAAACAAAAAAAAACGGATTTTTTTTAAATATTATTTTTACAGGGTGGTGTCAAGAAGAGTTTGTTGTATTTGTTGATTTGGATAAAATTCAATATGAAATTTATTATGCAATATTTTAAAAATATATTTACATTATTTACAGGAAGTGTACAAAAACTTTGTTGTTTTTACAACACCCTGTATATTAATATATTGGGTGTAAATTTAGGCTCTGTACAAAAAATGCATTTTACTCGTGCAAAAATGCATTATAAAAACTCGCCGGGTGCATAAAAGTTTGCAATACGATCATTTCTATGAGTTGAACGAAGAAAGACTATTAAACTAACAGTGGTTAGAGTAAGAAAGTTGCAATAATATCACTCTTTCTTTTTTTGCTTTACATGAACTTTTTTTGCTATCTGAACTCCCCCTCCCTTTTTCTACCCCCTTCTAGCCCTCCCTATGCTCCCCTACCCCTTCCTTTTTCTCCTCTACCCCTTTCACTCTACGCTACTCCCCGCTACCTCTTCCTATCCTAACTGTCCTATCCCTACCCCCTTCTACCCTTCCTATGGATTTCTACCCCTTCTAACCTACCCTATACTATTCAAACGCCCGCTCCTTCTACCCCTACGTTACACTGATCTACTCCTCCTTTCCTCCCCTTCTTCTCCTCCTTTCTCTTCTACCCCCCTTCTACCTCTCCCCATCCTCCTTTACCCCTCCCTTTCCTCCTCTACCTGAGCTCGCCCTGCCCTCTCCCACTCTACCCTACCCCACTATATGTATGTAGTTTTCAATATGCAGATACTTTAAACTCTTCTTGACACACCCTGTATTTACTTTAGGGTTGTTTAACTTTGGTTGTTCTACTACATATTAATTTTCCATTACTTTTTTTTTCTATTTTTAAATGGAATAATTACATCACGAATCAGAATCACTGTAATTATCATACTTTTTTAAAGGCTTCGTTTATTCGACATTCCTATTTTTCATTTTTATTTAACAGGGGTAATTTTTGAAAAGACTTTAGTTAATAAGTTGATAGATTATTAGGCGCCTGCATTCAGCGCCTCATTTTAACCTCAAAAACGGATTGAGAGGGTCGCTTTAAAACGTAAACAAAGTCCCTAGTTACTCCATAACAACAATGTAAAACTGTCAAATTAGGCAATCTCCTTAGTTACTCCATAACAACCAATGTAAATCTGTCAATTTGAATAATCTCCATGGTTACTCCATAACAACAATGTAAAACTGTCAAACTAGGCAATCTCCTTAGTTACTCCATAACAACCAATGTAAATCTGTCAATTTGAATAATCTCCTTGGTTACTCCATAACAACAATGTAAAACTGTCAATTTTTAAAATGGGGCGCTGAATAAAGGCCAATATGTGTCCATTTTCCATCATTATATAATAATTTATTGAATTCTGTGTGCTTCCATTGAAAGTATTTCTAGACGGAAAATTGCTTCAAAAAAGTTTCAATTTCATTTAATATGTACGGATGAAGACTGTTATCGAACAAACTTATTTTAAGTTCACGAATTCGATAAATAATTCGATTATCGAATCGATTTTTAATCGAATTATTGTTGAATTCAAGATGGTATGGTTGTGTGTAATATTTAAGGTAAATGTTCATTATATTATTTGGGTAATGTTGCAGTTTGATACCGTAATAGTGCGCAGCTACTTCTGCGCATATAAAGGATAGATGTTTAATCACGCAATATATCCTAAAATTATAAAGGATTTGAACATTTGGCAACAGCGCGATCGAAACGACTCGATTTAGTATATGCGCTGTAGTAGCTGCGCATTCGTAGGGATTCGAATTACATTACTATTATTTGTTTGTTTTTGTAGATAAATAGGAATTTTTTTGTTCCTAAATGTAATTGTGTAATAATAGACATGTTGCTTTGCAGTGTTGCGTTTTCATTTTTTTTTCTAATTTTTTCGGAATTTTGGGGCACGACAAAAAGAGGAGTTTCATTGAATTTTCGTAATTTTTATTCGACATTTTACAATTTGCGAAATAAACAACGTAGGAAAATTAAAATTATAAGTCACTATAATCTCAAGTGGATATCGCTTGGATTAACAAGTTATATAATAAAAAAAAAATTGTCAATTCCTACTAAGGTGAACAAAAAATTTTAAGTATTAAAATTTAAAAAAAATTGGCTGGTACGGGGTTTGAACTCGTGACAAGGATCCCACGCAGATGCCTTTACCAACTTTGCTAATACAATTTAAAATACTACATGCTAAATATTGTTTATAAAGTAAAACGTTTTTATCAGGAAGAGTGTCAAGCAACAATAGGAATTGAAATATGACCTTAATTACACTCAATTAATCCTAATAACGCTCAATTACGCTTACAATCTGTGCATAAAAATACATTTTTTTTTGGTTTTTCTCTTCTGCATTTCACATTACAAATGTATTATAGTATTTCGTATCACAATTTCTTATTTCTTTTTTATCCGTCAGTTTTCGGGGGCGGCCATTTTGTGTTAGTAATAGTAATTGTAAAATGGATGGTGTTTGAAGAATTTATTGGAATTGTAATGACCCGCCATGCTATTGACACCGGCGCCATTGTTCATGCCGTACATGCCGCCGCTCGTGCCGAATTTCGATTCGCCGTACCTTTAAAAAATTATATTTTTTGAAAAAATTAGATTTTTGGAAAAAATGAAATTTTTGGAAAAATTGAGTTTTTTTTTTGAACAAATGAGAATTTTGAAAAAAATGAGTTTTTTTGTAAAAATTAGTTTTTAAGAAAAAATTACTGAAAAAAATTAGATTTTTGGAAAAATTGAGATTTTTGAAAAAATGAGTTATTAAAAAATAACTAATGTATATTCCGTTCGCAATGGGGAGATGGTAAGTTAATTTTGCGTGCGAGAGATTTTTTTTTGAAAAATTTTTGAAAAATAATTTATAGTCCGTTCGCTATGGAGAGAAGGTAATGAAAGTTAATTTTATGTGAGAGATATGAGTCTTTTTAAAAAAATGAGTAATTTATAGTCTGTTCTCTATCGGGAGATGGTAATAAAAGTTGAGTTTGTGTGTGATAAGGATTTTTTTAAAAAATTTTTAAGTCCAAATTATAGTCCGTTCGCTATGAGAGATTGTAATGAAAGTTGTTTTTGTGTGGGATTTTTTTTTGAAAATTGAGACTAATTTATAGTCCGTTCGCTATCAGGAGATGGTAACAAAAGTTGATTTTTTTGTGCGAGAGATGATTTTTTTTTAAAAATTTAGTAAATTATAGTCCGTTCGCTGCCGGGAGAGGGTAATTTTGCAAGTGAGAGATAGCAAAATATTCGGAAAATATGGGGGTGGTTTTATCCCAATTAGTTTTCGGGATAATTGCGATTTTCTGTCAAATTGTAGCAAAATTGATGATTTTGATACAGTTCAGAACAATTCGAAATAACTCGAAATTGAATCGGTTTTGGAAAATTTTCCATTCTGCAAAAGTTATAGAGAAAATATTTTTCTTCAAAATAAAATAAATCGAGTGTTTTTATCTCTTATTAGTTTTCGAGATTATTGCGATTTTCCGTCAAATTGTAGCAAAATTGATGATTTTGATACAGTTCAGAACAATTCGAAATAACTCGAAATTGAATCGGTTTTCGAAAATTTTCCATTCTGCAAAAGTTATAGAGAAAATATTTTTCTTCAAAATAAAATAAATCGAGTGTTTTTATCTCTATTAGTTTTCGAGATAATTGCGATTTTCCGTCAAATTGTAGCAAAATTGATGATTTTGATACAGTTCAGAACAATTCGAAATAACTCGAAATTGAATCGGTTTTGGAAAATTTTCCATTCTGCAAAAGTTATAGAGAAAATATTTTTCTTCAAAATAAAATAAATCGAGTGTTTTTATCTCTATTAGTTTTCGAGATTATTGCGATTTTCCGTCAAATTGTAACAAAATTGATGATTTTGATACAGTTCATAACAATTCGAAATAACTTGTAATTGAATTGATTTTGGAAAATTCTTATTCTGCATAAGTTATAAAAAAAATGTTTTTCTTCAAAATAAAATAAATCGAGTGTTTTTATCTCTATTAGTTTTCGAGATAATTGCAATTTTCCTTCAAATTGTAGCAAAATTGGTTATTTTGACACAGCTCATAACAATTCGAAATAACTTGTAATTGAATTTATTTTGGAAAATTCTTATTCTGCATAAGTTAAAGAGAAAATATTTTTCTTCAAAATAAAATAAATCGAGTGTTTTTATCTCTATTAGTTTTCGAGATAATTGCGATTTTCTGTCAAATTGTAGCAAAATTGATGATTTTGACACAGTTCAGAACAATTCGTAATAACTTGTAATTGAATTGATTTTGGAAAATTTCTCATTCTGCAAAACTTGTAGAGAAAATATTTACTATCATTTCTTGATAACGAACGGACTATAAATCAAATGGAAGCTTCATCTACTTCATCTACTATCATCTCCTGATAGCGAACGGACTATAAATCAAATGGAAGCTTTACTACAACCATCTCTTAATAACAAACGGACTATAATTCAAATCGAAGCTTCATTACTATCATCTCCTGATAGCGAACGGACTATATAAATCAAATCTAGAATATATGCATATATTTATACTCTTACCTTCCTTGATTCGCTTTAGCGTTATCCGCCAAATACTCTTTGCCGAAATGTCCCTCTTTCTTGGCCTCCTTCGCTTCGAATTTACCATCCTCTTTACCGCCTTTGAACGAAGAGGCGGCGTTCTCGCCGAACGAGCCGCCTTGATTGTTAAAGGCGTAATTGCCGCCCTCGTCGTGATCCTCGTCGTAATATTCTTCGGTTTTGCCGGACTCCTGTTTCTGGTGGGAGTTTTTGAAGCCCTTTATCTTGTGCCCTTTCTTGTGGCCCTTCATCATGTTCGAGGCTGCTTCGTTTTTACCTGCGATGAATTTGGATTGTTATGTTATAGGTACAAATAGGCGGTGAATTTGTTGGATTTTAAATGCTTTTGGAGCGTTCTAAATGGTTCAGGACAGTTCCAAATGGTTCCGGAGCATTCTAAATGGCTTTAGACAGTTCTAAATGATTCTGGAGCGTTCTAAAGCGTTCTAAATGATTCTAGACAGTTTTAAATACTTTTGGACAGTTCTAAATGATTCAGGAGCGTTCTTAATGGTTCTAGACAGTTTGAAATGATTCTGGAGCGTTCTAAAGCGTTCTAAATGATTCTAGACAGTTTTAAATGCTTTTGGACAGTTCTAAATGATTCAGGAGCGTTCTTAATGGTTCTAGACAGTTTGAAATGATTCTGGAACGTTCTAAAGCGTTCTAAATGGTTATGCACAGTTTTGAATGTAATTTGATAGTTCTAAATGATTCGTGAGCGTTCTAAATGGGTCAAGACAGTTCCGAACGATTCTGGAGCGTTCTAGATGGCTTTAGAGAGTTCTAAATGATTCTATTCCAAATGATTCTGAAACTTTCCTTAATGATTTTAGACAGTTTCAAATGATTCTAGACAGTTTTGAATGTAATTGGAAAGTTCTAAATGATTCGTGAACGTTCTAAATGGTTTAAGACAGTTCAGAACGATTCTGGAGCGTTCTAAATGGCTTTAGAGAGTTCTAAATGATTCTATTCCAAATGATTCTGAAACTTTCCTAAATGGTTTTAGACATTGTTTTTGACAGTGTTAAATGATTCTGGTGTGTTCTAAATTATTCTAGACAGGTCTTGACAGTTCTTGACAGGACCTGGAATGGTTCGGAAGCGTTCTAAACGGTTCTACACAGTTCTGAATGGTTTTGGAACATTCTAAATGGTTTTAGTTCTAAATGATTCTAGATATGTAATTCTAAATGTTTCTGGAGCGTTCTAAATGGTTTTAAACATTTCTAGAATTAATTACAGATGTCCCAATGAGAAAATCAGGAAATCGGTAAATCAGAAAATCAGTAAGCAATGAATTTGTTGGATTTTTGCCTTTAAGAGTTAATATTATTTCGAGTAGGCTGTGAATTTTTTGGATTGCTTAGATTAGCAGTGAAATTTGTATTGGTTTCGATGCGGTTCGTTGAAAATTTTGGAAATATCTCGAAGAGGAGGCGGTTTTGAGAAATTTTGGATTCTATGAAAGTTGTAGAGGGACGTTTTGGCTTTAAAATGAAATAAACGGGGTGGTCTTATCTTAATTAGTTTTTGAGATAATAAGGATTTTCTGTCAAGTTAGTAGTAATTTTGCATAATTCATTAAAACAGGAAAATATCTCGAAATATAAGCGATTTTTGGAAAATTTTTGATTCTATAATTTGCAGGAATTTTTTGTCTTTAACATGAAACGTACTGAGTGTTTTTATCTCGATTAGTATTCGAGATAATTGCAATTTTTTCTCAAATTGTAACAAACTTGGTAATTTCGATAGAGTTAATAAAAACTCTAAATATCTCGAAATTTAAACGATTTTCGAAAAATTTTTATTTTACAAAAGTTGCAGAGAGAAGATTTTTCTTCAAAACGAAACCAACAGGCTGTTTTTATATTAGTTAGTTTTCGAGAAAATTGCATTTTTCTTCAAAATTGCACCAAAATATATACCTACTCGAATCGGCTTCGTTTTAACCATTAAAAACTTACGATTAAGCATCAAATTTGTTTAAATTATATGATATTATGAATTAACTAACCTTCTTGATCGTATTTCTGACCACCATGGTATTGCTTCCCATCTTCGTAGACGTTTTTTCCGCCATTTGTACCGCTGTAATAACCCGAATTTCCTTCTACATCTTTACCGGCAATTTCTCCTTTATTATAACCTGCTTGACCGTTGTTGAATTCTCCACCTTCCTTACCGTAACCCTGCTCGTATCTTTAACGAACATAGTTATTCAAAATTAATAAAAAAATTCAAATTTTTTAACAATTATTATCCAAAATTAGCTATAATTATCGCACAATTTAGCAAAATGTTTCCCAATTTATTGATAATAAATTGTCCAAAATTATCTGTAAGTATTGAAAATTATCTAAAACTATTTAAATTAATCCAAAATGATCCAGAATTATCCACATAATTATCCAAATTTTGTGCAAATTCATTCAAATTTATCTCGATATATCCAAATTTATTTATAATATATTATCCAAAATTATACGTGATTATTAAAATTTATCTAAAACTATTCAATTACGTATAAATTACGTCAAAAATGATCCAAAAAATGTTCAAAGTTTAAAGTACTCAAAATTTTGAACAAATTCATCTAATTTTTCCTTGATTAATAGATTATCCAAAATAATCCGTAATTATACAAAATTTTATCCGTGATTATTCAAAATTATATAAAACTATTTAAGTTTCTCCAAAATGAGCCAAAATGACCCAAAAATTATCCATCAAATTTAAACAAATTCATTCAAATTTAATTAAATCTCTCCAAATTTATCCATAATAGATTATCCAAATTTATTCATAATTATTTAAAATTACCTAATATTATTGAAGTTTATCCAAAATTATCCAAAATTATTCAAAATTAACCACATATTTACTAAAAATTATCGAAATTTTGAACAAATTCATCCAAATTTATCTAGATTTAGCCAAAATTTTTCCATAATTATCTAAATATAACCAAATTTATCCAAAATGATCCTAAATTACTCCCCTAATATCATTAAAAAATGTACATTAAATTTACCTCATATCATTCAAGTTTTTCTTTCCATTAGCATAAGAACCTCCATCGGCTTCTGCTCCTCCATATCCATGGTGCATTCCGCCCATTCCCATCATTCCCATTCCTGCTCCTGCTCCCATCATTCCTGCACCGCCTCCCATCATTCCAGCGCCTCCTATCATTCCAGCGCCACCTCCCATCATTCCTATGTTTGTGTGCAAACCGCCGCCTCCCATGCCTATGATAAACGATTTTGAGTCTTTAAAATATGTAAAGGTCTTGTGCGTATGATTTTTTTTTTCAAAATGAAGAAAATTAGGTGGTTTTATCTCTATTAGTTTTCGAGATAATTGCGATTTTATGCCAGATTGTAGCAAAATTGGTAATTTTGATAGAGTTCGTAAAAACTCGAAATATCTCCATTCATCATCCAACCATTTTAGAAAATTTTTAAATGTATAAAAGTTGTAGAGGAAAGATTTTTATTCAGAATGAAATAAATGGAATGTTTATATATCGATTGGTTTTCGAGATAATGGGGTTTTTTAACGAATTAATTTGGTTGTAATTAATACAAAAGTGGAAATAACTTGAAAATAAAGAGATTTTGGAAAATATTTGATTCTATAAATTATAGAGAAAATGTTTTTCTTTAAAATGAAATATACTGCGTGTTTTTTCATTAATTAGTTTTAAAGAAAACTGCAATTTTCTTCAAGTTTATTAGTACCAAAATTAGTAAAATCGAAAAAATTTCAAATATCAAAAATAGCGATTTTGGATAATTTTCGATTCTAATAATTGTGAAGAAAAGTTTTTCCCTCAAAAATAAAATAAATTGAATGTTTTTATCTCAATTAGTTTTCGAGATAATCGAGTTTTTCGATTTTTTGTCAAATTGCACAGAATTTAGTAATTTCGATAAAACTCACAAAAAAGCTTAAAATATCTGGAAAACTAAGCGTGTTAGAAAATTCTTTTCATTGTAAATCGTAGAAAAATGTTTTTACTTCATAATAAAATAGACCGGGTATTTTTATCTCATTTTGTTTTCGAGAAAAACTGCAAAAAACCTCCAAATACCTCCAAATTTAATCGATTTTGGAAAACTTACGATTTCATAAATTGCAGAGAAATCTTTTTCCTTCAATACAAAACAAACAAGACGCTTTCACGTCAATTATTTTTCAAGGAAACCGCGATTTTCCATCAAATTGCATCAAAATTTGTACAGGGTGTCCACTTAAGTTCGCACCAAATGGAAAACTGAATAATATAATAATAATAACTAATTAATAATATTAATTAATTATTAATACTAAAATTAACTAATTAATAGTTAATAATGACTAAATAAAAAATATTAAATATTATTAAATAAAATAATTATCCATTATAAAAAGTTCTGCTTGATCCAAAACCTAAAATGCAACCATCAGATATTTATTTTTTCCAATCGTATACGAGGTATATCATAAAATATGAATTTTGCTCAAGAATAAAGTACCTTTATTTTTGACAATATAGAAAACTTTAATCAGTTATCTCTTTATTCGTTAAGTTAAACATTGATGCATTAATTAATGATGCAAAAATTCATTAATTCCGATATACATACCTCGTATACAAATGAAAAAAATAAATATCTGATAGTTGCATTTTTGATTTTCGACCAAGCAGAACTTTTTATAAGGAATAATTTTTTTTATTAATAACAAAAAAGTTTTCCATATGGTGCAAACTTAAGTGAACACAGTGTACAGGGTGTCCAAATGAAAAGTAGTTTAATGAGCTTATAATTTTTAAACGGTTAATCATAAAAACGTGCCGTTTTCTCAAAAATGTTTTATTTTATTACGAGTTTTGTTACAGTGATACAGAAATTATGCATTACCAATACAGGCGATACAAAATTTTTGTGTCACTATAACAAAAAGTTATAGCAAAATAAAATACATCTTCGAAAACCGCACGTTTTTACGATTGGGCGTTTAAAAAAATTATTAGTTCACTAAAGGGGCTACCTTTCGTTGGGACACCCTGTACAATACCTCTTCTATACATACCCATTCCAACGCCGCCTCCGTTTGCAACCATCCCAGCTCCACCTCCCATCATTCCTCCTGCACCACCTCCAATCATTCCTGCTCCACCTCCCATCATTCCTCCTGCACCACCTCCCATCATTCCTGCTCCACCTCCCATCATTCCTGCTCCACCTCCCATCATTCCTGCTCCACCTCCCATCATTCCTGCACCACCTCCCATCATTCCTGCACCACCTCCCATCATTCCTGCACCACCTCCCATCATTCCTGCACCACCTCCCATCATTCCTGCACCACCTCCCATCATCCCGGCTCCCTGGGAAGCCATCACGCCGCCCCCCATTCCCGCCAACTTGCCCCCGCCTCCGGCAATCATATTGCCCATCCCCATCCCCATGGGGAGGTACCCGCAGGACGCCCGACGGGCCACCAGCAGGACCAAAACCACCAGAGCACTGCTCCACGTGTTCAACACCATCTTGTAGATTGACTGATTGATTGATTGATTGATTGACTGATTGTGTGGTGGAAATGTCGCAGAGAAACCGTTTTATACTTAGAAATTGTTACGGTTAAATTCTTCGAAACAATCGTCGAAGGAAAGAGAGAGAGAAGGGGAATCGGGCGAGACCTTTGAGGAGGAGAGAGAAGAAAGAAAAAAACAAATTGTTACGGTTGGAATTGGAATTTGCATTGTTTATGGTGAATGCGGGGAAGGTCGATTTTCGTGCGGAGAGGATGTGACGGTTGTTATGGGATTTTTTTGGGGTTATTGGGTCGTGGTGTTGGCGAAATTGGATTTCTGATGGGGTCTTTTTTTTTTATTTATTTGTTGTTGGAATTAGAAGGAAAAGTGAACTTAATATACCGGGTGGCGCGTTATTGGTATGGAAAAGCTCAATATACTTCAGGTAAGTGCTTGCTCTACTCTACAGGGTGTTTAAATTATCTGTTTATTGGAAACTACTTATCCGTTTTCAATAAAATTTGGTATACATAAGTTAGGCATTAATGTTAGATGAACCTCTAAGATAAACTTCTAAGAACCTATAAGGTGAACCTCTTAAAAATATTTTGACAGTTGTACCACTCGACACACAGGTGATCCCCGTAAAAAAAAACAATCTACAGGGTGGCACATTAGTATGGGGAAAAGCTCAATATATCTGTTATAATAGATATCAAAAAAACTTCATTACAAAAGTTGTAGATCTTTTTAAGTTGCATATTTTAAAATTAGTTACATTTATACAGATTGTCCCGTTTGTCCGCAATAGATCCAATTTATACTTTTTTAAATGGAACACCCTGTTTTTTATTTAAAAATTGAATTAAGCTCGTTTTCAGCTTACCAAAAATATAATATTGTATTATGTTATACTGAGTGGTTTAAAAGTTATGACCACTTTTCCACGAAAATCGTACCACTCTGTAGAAACTAAATGGATTGAATTGAAAATAAATTTCAGGTTTCACAACATTGCAAATATCCTGAAAATGTACAAAATTAATATTTTTTGTTAATTTTAATCATACTGCTTACAGGGTGGATCCAAACGCAAAAGTAACATTTTCTCTTAATTCAAATGGATCACCCTATATTTTATATCGTTAACAGGAAGTATTTTTGAAGCACTTTCATTCTTAATAACCATTCCCTATACCTAAAGTTAACACTTTTCGAGATATTCCAATTAAAAAAAAACTAGAACGGAAAATTGAAGAAAAAAAATTAAGGTATAAATGTATTCTGAATAAATGTAACTAATATTAAAATATGCAGCTTAAAAAGATCTACAACTTTTGTAATGAAGTTTTTTTAATATCTTCTATAATAACAGATATATTGAGCTTTTCCATACTAATGTACCACCCTGTATAAAGATCTGCTTTGGTCAATTTTTTCTAAAAAAAATTATTAACTCAAAAAAGTATGCATTTTTGAAAAAAGTGTTTTAGTAAAAAGTGCCCTAAAATTTTACGTAGATTTCGAAAATATATTAATATACAGTGTGTCCACGGATGGGGTTGCCTATAGGAGAAAAATATTAATTATTAATTTTACGACAAAAAGTCATTGTTTATAAAAATTTTTGATTCTTTTAAAAATGAGAATAACACTGAAAAATCTTAGATTGGATCTACAGGGTGTTGCCAAATTAAGAAAACATGAAAATACCTCAAGAGAGAACCTTGATTTTACATTTACATTTTACCTTGAGAGTACCATTGATTTTTATTTTACACAAAATTTTTATAAAAGAAAGTTGTTTATAATCTAAAATAAAGCTTGAATACAAATTTTCAAATTAAAATTCCAATTTTGTGTGTCCCTGTAGATTTGACATGTAAATTGTTTGTAATTAATTGATTATTAATGTTGGTACTTTTACGATAATACATGGCCAACTTGTAAAACCGAGTTATTTAAGAATAAGACAGAAAAGTAAGTTTTAAGTAAAATTTTTAATATTTTCAAAACTATTAGGTTTAGGTATAGGGAAGTAAACATGAACTTCCCTAATTTTTTACCGCTGATTTCAATAAAATAGAAAAAAAATGGGTGGTTCTATTTAAAAAAATTAAATAATTTGGTATTTTTGAAGTTCAACTTTTCACATGTTTTGTATACACCTTGTATAAAATAAAAAGTTTTTTAACACAGATTCAAATACCTTTGACCTTGCTAGTGGTCACCCTACAGAGACCATATCCATATCTTTAAAGGGATCCCCGTAAAAAAATAATTTATAAGGGTCTGCATCGGTCAAATTTTTCAAAAAAAAATTAGTAACTTAAAAAGTATGCATTTTTGAAAAAAGTTTTTTAGACAAAAACACTCTAAAATTTTGCGTACATTTTGAAAATATATTAATAAATGGGCTGTCCCATTTAAAATAACAAAGTTGCTGTCCACTTCCGGTATAACCGGAAGTAAAGAAAAGTTGAAAATATTTTCATTGAATAGAGAGCATCGACTAATACTTGTACACAAATTTTCAAATTTTAATTACAACTACTTTTCCAGATACTTCAAAAATGGGCCCTCGTCGTGACACACACTGTATACTAATATACTTTTTTACTGATTTCTTGTTATAAAAAATTAAAAAAAAGTTAAACTTTTACTATAAAAATGGGTCCTGAAATGCACAGTTTCAAGATACAGAATGTTCCATTAAAACAAAAAATTAAATACATACCTTAAAAAAATATTTATTTGAATGAGTTGAAATTACGCGGAAATGCTATTTGTTACATTAAGAGTCTAATTAAGCACTAAAATTATTAAAGTTATTAAGTCCAGTCCTTGTGATTTTTTTTAACAAAAATTTGATAAACCAATATTTTTCCAGTGATTGCAATAAAATGATTGAGATACGAAAAAAATGCAAGAGGTAAAGAAGTTATATTTTTAGATGCTTAAAATGAATCAAATAATATTAAAGTTAGAAAAAAAAGGCAGTGGCGTACATTTTTAGCCAATAATTTTCGCTAAGGTGCCCCACAGGGACGCCACTAATATAATAATTTTAATCTATTTAGAGCTAAAATAGCCATTTCATACAACAAATAATATTGCTAAATTTCAACAGAATCAACAAAAAATTTTTAATTTACGATATTAATATTTTTTGTCTTAATTTAACATCCTGTATTTAAAGAACTGTGCATTTCCGGACCCATCATGTATATAGGAACTTTTTTTTAATATTTTTTAATAAGGTTCAATCCTTTCAAATATCTCTATCTATTTTTTGAATACAAAACTTCGTTAATTGAAATGGAAAGTACCAATTTTGACTTCATTTTAGAATTCTGTGGGCCTTTTTAACTAGACTTTGATAATAGATATAATTATAATAATAAAATGCTCAATTTTTAAGTTATTTAATTTTTTTCGAAATTTTTTGGAAACAGTTACAAATAAAAATCAACTGAATGTTCATGGTGCATTTACAGGGCGTTTAAAATTGTCTGACAAACTTGGCTAACTTAAATTGGCTATAACTCTGTTATTTCAAATGGATCATTCAGTATTTTTAGGCATTAAACAATGGGTATTTTTAAGCCCTTTCGATCCATATGAGTATTCCCTATTCTAAAATCCAGTCGTTTTTGAAATAATCGAACTTTAATTAATTATTCTATAATATTTCTTTTCTTGTGTTATCTAGATGGCTATTCAATTGGATGCCTTTAATACACCATAATGACGTTAAAACTTTGATATTAAAATAGCAATTCAATAATCTAACTAGTTTATGGTTAATTTTTAAGTCTAAGTCCTCATTCCTTCTTCACATTTTTCTTTAATCGTTCTTCATTTAGTTGCAATTTTTAAACTATTAGAACTACCATGTTTGGTAAAGACTTGCCCTCATTGATACCCTTTTTGGTATCTTCAAAAAGGTTTTTATAGATTAAAATATTGTTGTAGAAACTGGAAATTCCTTTTAGATTCTTCATCAATCTTTTATTCATGAAGAAATTCGAATTTCCCTCTCCAAATTGCGCCCCTTGACCCCCGAAGAAGATTGTCGAATAAATTTTTATTTTCCCCGACGGCGCCGCCGCTTTCTTCGCCGCCTCCTACGATTTTGACGGGCCTAATGGTTTGAAATGGGGATGAAATAAATTTCAAAAGGAAGAATTAAGGGTATTTACCCTTATGGGGTGGTTTATTAAACCACGCCATTCGAAGAGGATCGAAATTGTAATTTCGATACGATTCGTAAAAGAAATAACGAAATAACTCGAAATTTAAGCGATTTTTGGAAAATTTTGAGTCTATAAAAGTTGTAGAGGAATGTTTGTTATTTAAAATGGCATAAATTAGGTGGTTTCATCCCAATTGGTTTTTGAGATAACTGCTAATTTTTATCTAGTTGCGCCAAATTTGTAATTTCGATGCAATCTTTTAAAAAACTCAAAATATCTCCAAATTTAAGCGATTTTTGAAAAATGTTTATTCTATAAAAGTTGTAAAGGAATGTTTGTTATTTAAAATGGCATAAATTAGGTGGTTTCATCCCAATTGGTTTTTGAGATAACTGCTAATTTCTGTCTAGTTGCGCCAAATTTGTAATTTCGATGCAATCTTTTAAAAAACTCAAAATATCTCCAAATTTAAGCGATTTTTGAAAAAATTTTATTCTATAAAAGTTGTAAAGGAATGTTTGTTATTTAAAATGGCATAAATTAGGTGGTTTTATCCCAATTGGTTTTTGAGATAACTGCTAATTTCTGCCTAGTTGCGCCAAATTTGTAATTTCGATGCAATCTTTTAAAAAACTCAAAATATCTCCAAATTTAAGCGATTTTTAAAAATTTTTTAATCTATAAAAGTTGTAGAGAAATATTTTTCTTTAAAATGAGATAAATTAGGTGATTTTATGTCAATTATTTTTTGAAATCAATGGTAATTTCTACCTAATTGCGCAAAATTTGTATTTTCAAAAGAATCTAATAAAAAAT